TTTCTCTTTGGAGTGTTACAAGCTGATTGTGCATAGATAAGATCCCTGAAGTTGCAAAGACTAAAGTCTCAAAACCAAAGAGATATTCTTTATCAAAGTTAAGACTCTGCCACGCCCCCCTAAAACGTCTTTACATTTATTTTGAAAGATGAGGCTCGCGATTATGGTAATCGTTACATTTCCGACGAGTGCTTGCGGTGTTCGGGCCAATCGCAATGCACTGGGTCAGCTGGCCAATCAGAGCAGACTGCATTTGTCGGAAGGAGGGACTTTGTAGAAAATAAAGCGTTTGAGAGGCGGGGCATATAGGACCTACAATAATGTACAGTATTTGAAAAATAATGTGTTTTTTGAACATTAAAGCATGTCAACATATTCTGTTACACCAAATACACAAAATAATGATCTTTAAAAAAGCATCATATGACCCCTTTAATATTAAATTCTTGTTTATTGAACTGCTGTATAAAATCAATATCACATTTGTAATCATGCTGCTTTTTGTTGGAAAAAAAACATCTTTGCGTCATACTGATTGACTATATAAAATTATATAAATATATAAATTTCTGCCCCCATATCTTTAATTTTGTGATCATTCTAAATGCATTTTAATAAACTGAATCATGCAGTGAAACGCACACTGGTCTAACCTACTAATTTACATGGTAACTCTATCATGAGTCATGGATGTTAGCAAGACAAATTAACTATAATTGCCTTTTGTCTTTTGGATAATTAGATGTAAATTCGAGGCACAGATAGCTTAGTCTGTTGTTCATCACCACTCACCTCCACACCGAGACAAACACAACTGGAAAGGGAGGGAGGGCTTCACTTCTGCGACTCTCTGCCTGTCTGTGATGTGCATGTGCCGATCAATGTGTGCTACACTGCTGTGCTGCGGCCTGCGGAGATGCGGAGGGGAGAGAGTCTCAACATTTCCCGACCCGACCTGATATTTTGACGTTTTATTTGTTTGACAGGGAAAACTGTGCGCAAACAGAAACACACACACACACAACACACACACACACACACACATATATACATATATTCATTTATTTAGAAAAAAAAACACTCCCCAGAAAAAGGGCACTTTCTCTCGAGGAAGAAAAAGGGCAGGTGCTCAAGCCCCTTTGATGTCTATGTGTGCACGTGCCTGGACGCAAGGCATTCAAACTACTCAAGACTGACCCAATTTATACATTATATATTTAAGTGAAACCTGAAAATAAAAGAAAAATAAAATAAAAAATAAAGAAAATATATAAATAAAATCTATATGAACAAAAACTGTAATAGTATCTCGGTGATCTAATATAACACTGACTCACAGACATACAGCATGTGAGATTTACAACCACACACTGACACTACGGGAGAAATTACACTTGCTAAAAAGATCTGCTTAATATATCAACTGTTTCTCGTCCAAGACAGCAATGAGAATAAATGCAGAACAAATGAGGACTTGCTCAAAAACTCTCCTGCTTCTCAGATGTTTCTCCTGTGAAAAAGACTCTCAATATGAACTCAAACGATCTGAAAAACTCACAGGTGCAATCTTGATTTATCTAAAGCTTTTGATTTAGTTGATCGATACTTACTTTTAGATAAACTCCATGCTATTTGTCTTTCTGAAAATACAATTATGTGGTTTAATTCATACCTGCATAACAGAAAACAATGTAAGGGAATAAATCAGATTTTTTGGTTCAACAGAGGTGTGCCCCAAGGTTCAATATTAGGACCACATGTTTTTTTCTATTTATGTCAATAATTTACAGTTAATTTTCAATAATTGTAATGTTCAACTTTATGCTGATGACACCATCATATATGCATCTAATTCTGATATTTTACAAATTCAGTTTTCTCTTCATTATTATTTTAATATTTTACAACATTGGCTTTTGGATAATAAATTAGTGCTTAAATACATTTTTTTGTTCCTCATGTCAAAAACAAAACAAAACAAATTGTTAAAAGAGCTTTTATGTTTAAAGCCCCAGACTAGAATAATTTACCTGCAGATATTCAATCTATTTCATCATTTAAGATGTTTAAGTAAAACTTTATTATCATATTTTGCTTTGGTCTGTACATGTTATCATTGAAGATGTTACTGTTTCTTTATATATATATAGGTTTATATTTGATTGGATTCACTGATCAGTATATTTTGTTGCACTACTCAAATGTTTGAACACTACTCAACTGCAATGATGTGAAAGCACAGGAAACACACTTGAAAATGACATTTCTCCAGAAAGCACATTATGCCGTTACATTTGATCACAGTTGTAACTCCAGCAGCGGTCATGAGGACAGAGAGACTCTGACGCTGAGATAACAGATGGCATTCTGGGAATCTGTGCCATATGGGCCGCTCACGACTGACTGCGTCTCTCACCCACACCTGAAGAGTTTCCTACATCACCTGTTAATCTGCTGGAGATCTCAACTAATAATAAACTACTGAACAGTACCATGGGATTGTCATGTTTTGTGGACATGTATCATGGTAATTTCATGTTTTTCTTACTTTCATACTTTCAAACGAGTTCTTCAAGTACCTTGCAATAACATGTCTAAGTCATATTTCATCTATGTGTGTGAGTGTATATATATACATATACTGAAATTTAAAATTTTACTTTAATTTTAATTTTAATTACTTTTGTTATGAATCATTAGTCATTTTTACTTTTATTATTATTATTATTTTAATTATTACAATTTAGATTTCATTTATTTTTATTTCAGTTTTTTTATTTTAGTTTCAGTTCAGTTTTAGTTTTTGTTTGTTTCCAGTTAGTAAGTTGTGTTTCTACTTAAACTCATTTTAGTAACTTACCAAAGCAGCATCTCTAATTTTCATTTATGTTTTCATCTAATATTTATATTTTATTTAATTTCAGCTTTATTTTTTTTATTTATTTTAAGTTTTAGTTAACTATAATAACCCTGATTTTATATATATATATATATATAGAGAGAGAGAGAGAGAGAGAGAGAGAGAGAG